TAATCCTACACACAGGTGTGCTGGACTAGTAACGAATCGGCATGTTCTGTTACGTGACAAACCTCGGCTGTGTCGTGTGGTGGCGGTTACAACGACGCATTTATATTTCCGCAATCTCACCCAAAAAAACCTCTAATGTATCATATTGGTCGCGACAGCCTACGTGTTAAAATGCCATTCTGGCTTGCACTACTCAACGTGAGCTGCAGGCTACTGCACAGAGATTGTCTGAGACCAAAGGCGTTGTCCCGCACCCCCGCCGCACTGCCCGTCGTGATTTACATCGGGGCCAATTTAAACACGTGGCAGGCAGCCCACCACTGCTCACAGACATTGCCATAGCAATCGCAGCCACTACCGCTGCGTTTTTATTCTATTTACACTGCGGCAAGTGTCACAGCCCTCCCTCCACCCGCTTGCTCCCACCAACGCCAGCCAACCCAACTTACAGCAACACCAATCCCAGCCAGCCCAACTTATACCAACGGCAGCCCAGCCCAACTTACACGGCTTCTCGTCCTTGCCCTCCCGGTGTTTCCCACGCCGTGAGTGAGGGTTTAGCAGAGCTCCTCCGCAAAGACTGCTCGGAACAATACAGTGGAGGCAGGCGATGGGTTGTTATTGTTTTGATTGTATGCCCAGTCAATGTTTGTAATTGGTCGAGAGGTGGCAAGCCCTTGTTTGCGTTGGCTTGCACATCTCGCTATTTATTTGTTTGCTAAAACACAAAGGTAAAGGAGAAGCCCTGCAATTGCTTGCTCAAACCATTGCCGGCAGAAGCACTTCCGCTGTACGGTGTCGTACAGATGTATTGTGACCCCCTCCAATCAATGGACCCTTAACATGTTTCCCCCTTTGCATATTCATTTATTTTTGAAATAAACCTTACTTTTCAATCAATTTTGAGTAGTAGAGCATTAAAGGGGTGTCACAAGATATCTGGACCACCCCGCAGAGAAATACCTCCAAAGTGCCCCTCTAGAGGGTATTTGGCCTACTTTTCCATTGCTGGCCAGACATCTAGGAAGAGGTGGGAGTACCCACACTTTACCCCACCACACCACGTGACCTCCTGATCAACGAACTGTGGTTAGCTATTTGTACTTCTGGGTTGACAGATGTGCGGGGGGAGGGGACATTTAAGAAATGTGCCCATTGCTTCTACAGCCACGCCGGGAGGTCGAAGGACGAAGCTCTGGGTTGCAAGTCCCGTCCGCTAGCCGTCAAACCACCGGCAGTTTGATAAAAAACAAATTCACTGCAAACACCAATAGATCTGATCACTGAGACACATGGCAAGGCAAAGTATGTTAATTCCAATTGTTAGAGAGATAGGTGTACATACTAGATACAAACTCACTCGTTTTTTTTTTGATATATATAAAAAAAAAACCTCACATATGCATTTGTCTGTACCGGAATGCACCCTTCATGTCTGGGATAAGGTTTGTGCTGTTGGAATGAATTAACTTGTACGATGGGCAAATCTACTGACGACTAACAGATGCAACGTGTGTTCTACACACTCAGCGATTATCCAGCGGGCATCCCGGAAACTGAACAATGCAGGAAGGAGAAAATTAAAGACGAACATGATGTTCTTCCAAATAATAAATACACGCATGTAATGCGCAAAGGGGAAACTCGCTGATTCAAAATTGGTTTATTTTTGGGGTTTGAGCGTGCGGGATAATCTCAATTACAACTACAAAGCCCCACTACCCGACAAAGCTAAACAATAACATTCGTCTCGTGGGCAAAACGTGCAAGTGTGATCCTGTTTTTCAGCGAAACCGGTCATGTTGAATAGCGAGCGACGTTTCGACGATTGTGTCCGAAGTTTCGCTGGAGATTACATCCAGCACTGAGGTGTTGGCCGGCAAAAGCTCAGATCTGGGTGCTTCAGGAGGTGTCACAACATCACCTGAGCAGCCACGCGGATGAACCGGATTTTACAGGTAGGAACAACGTTCCACACTGCCCACCAGGGATTATTTGTCTGTCTGACTGTCTGTCGTGCATAAATACATATATAATACAAACAGCTCTTTGATTGGTGGAGACCTACTGCCGGGTACGGAGAGGGGAGGGGCCTAAGGGAAGGGGGGTCAGGGGAGGGGCCTAAAGATATGGGGGGGGGGGTGGTCAGGGGAGGGGCCTAAGGGAGGGGGGGTCAGCGGAAGGGCCTCGGGGAGGTGCCTAAGCAAGGGGGAGGGGCCGATAGTTAATGGGGTTGAGGATGTCGGGGAGGGTGGGGGGAAGGTAAACACGCCCACTCATCCAACTGCCCCCCCCCCTGAACGCCGCGCTGTCCAACCAAGTTCCTACCTGCCCACTCCGAAGGAACGTGTTTATAGCCAACCTTGATTGCTGATTGAGTGGCTGTCATTTGCAGGGTAAAACCATAGGGGGCGGAGTTTGCAGGTGGACACGGGGGTGGGGGCAACGCCCCCGCCCAAACTGGACACCTTTATCAATTAAATTTCAGTAGTTTACAGTTAAGATTAAAAACATAATTAATCATATGAACCTGAGATTCCAAATGTGAGTGACAAAGCAACCCCCCCTCCCCCACAATATAGACGTCAAACTCCGCCTATGGGTAAAGCTATCCCATTATTGTAAAGCTTATAATTATCAGGTATTATTTATTATAATTGGTTAACGTGGTAGAGAGACGGACAGAGAGATATGTGCATAATGTGGGCCACGATAACGCTCACAGACATGATCCTAAATACAACTGTAGCGAATAGTGGTGTTTTTATTAGAGACGCGTCTGATTAAAAACTGTAACTAAAGCAATTCCCACAACTTGGAAACACAAACTACAGTAAAAAAGTATGTTAGAAAGTTCTAGATTTGAAGCTTTCGTGACTGCAAGGATTCATATTCACGAAACGTCGTGATTTTTGTTTTATTTTATTTTCATTAATTTTGATGTTTTACCTACGTGACTTTACCGAAAAAACCTAAGAATATGTTAGAAAGTGTCAGATAATTCATACATATGCATGATTTTTCTTCCTTGCTGTTGTATATATTATCAGGTTTATCAGGTTGCTCACAAATACACACAGACACAAATATGCATATGGGTGATTGCACAGTATTGGAAATCCAAGGGGCAATGCGGGCATTTGATGGGCCGTTTAATGTATCACACCAACCTGCTGTGCGAAAACATCGGGGGGCCGAATCACTGTACATTTTGCTTTCACGCTTTGACGGAATTCTGGCATTCGTGTTGAGTGAAGGCGACTCAATGCTGGAAGTAAGCGAGTCGAATTCAAAGGTCAGGCACCGGCGGTACTGAATGTGTTGCCGAGTGGTGGTGCACGTATGTGGGATAATTGTCAGGTTCGGTGAAAACCTGCGGGCCTACCAACACCTTTTCCTGAACCTTTGCGTGCTCTTTGAAGTTAAGATGATAACAGTTATTTCCCCGTCCAAAATTCTTGTAAATGTGTGAACCTTTGCATGGCTTTATATTTCATCTGATGGGACTAAAAAATAAAAATAGACACTGTGGTGAAAATTCAAAATCTCTGTGGTGGCAACCAATCTCTCCATAGAGCCACTATCGATTTACATGGGAGAGGTATTGAATAACATACTCGCATGAGTACGATCACATAGCCTGGGACCAGTGCTGGCAGAGTATATACATGAGACCAGGCGGATGCTTCCAATTTAATTCTAGACCCAAAGAGCACTGCCCACCCTGTAAACTGCCACCTGCCTCCCTACCTTTTAACGGGATCTAGGGCAATGCGTTTGCCGGTCTTGCATTAAAAATCCTGCAGCTTCTAGATTTGAAGCTTTCGTGACTGCAAGGATTCATACTCTTAGTTTTTTCGGTAAAGTCACGTAGGTAAAAATAAATTGAAATTAATAAAAATTTAATATTAAAATCACGACGTTTCGGAGGCAACACAAGTCTCCGTCATCAGGTGGGACCGTCACAGACAGATTTGTGTGCATGCAGCAAATCTACACTATAGAAAAGTCACGTTTACAATTACACCCCATGTATAATTTTAGGACGATTTTGAAATTGTAACTGTTAGGTTGGCCAAACTCGTGGGTCGACCAAGTTGCTGAGCACAGCCCTGAAAACATAGAACATTGGCCCAAGGTTGGCTCAACGTTTGCCCTAACGTTGGGCGAATGGTTCCAACCACATGGCAACGTTGCGCCTCTAAGTTGCACGGTGACTGGGGGGTCCAAAGGCCCACAGTGTCAAAATCGCAGGCAACAAAACCATAATCCCAAAACAGGAATTGAACCTCGACTGCCAGGACCGTCGCACCGGCATGCCACCACTGAGTCATGATGACCTGCCAACAACCACATAACACTGCGCACCACATGCAGTTCATAATGAAATGTAAGATGTGCTGTGTGCTGTATGTAGAAATGGGCATAGAGTAACCTGGCAATGTTGATGTGAGCGTTGGCTAATTCTGGCTTCGAAATGATGACAGTGGAATGGTGATGCATGCCCGTGTGTATTATTCACGCGGCGAAAATAACGGACGAACTTGCAAGATTTATCGTGCTGGTGTTATTGCGTTTTGAGTTGTATTTTTAAGTGTGGTCCTGGGAACGTTTTCACTGTGACAGAGGGTAGCGGATCAAAATGAACGAACACGCTTCTCACACGTGTGCGTGCGTGCGTGCATGCCGGAGAACGGTAGTGCAGTGGTGAGCGCACTGCGCTACGAACCCAGCGACCCTACATCAGTGGCGATTATTTGAACCGATCCTGGGCCTTCCCTAGGTCGACTCAGCCTCAAATGAGTACCTGGTGCGATGTCTAAACATCGCCATTCGGAGACAAAGGCGGCCGGGCGTGGTGCCGACCACCCACCCCCTCGTGTGCCGTGCGGACCTTCATAGGCGCTCGCTAACCACACTTTCCCCAACAGCCTGTCACAGGCTATAGGGGGGATCTTTGTCTTTGTGCATGCCGTGGCGTTCGGTGGCCGCCCTCTCACCGGCGGTGCCGCAGGAGGCGTTGGCGCGCAGCGTGGCGGTGCGCCCCGCGTCCCGCAGGTAGATGAAGTGCGGCCGTCGGTGGACGCCCTCCCCGTCCGGCGCGGGCTCCATGAAGTACTCGCCCTCGCGCGTGCGGAAGGTGCCCACCTGCCACGCGGGGCGACGCACTGGAGGGTCAACGCAACACCGCTCACTTGTTTGCGTGAGTGCGCGCGCTTGTGTGTGTGTGTGAGTGAGTTGAGCGAGCGGTGCTGGCCACCCTTCATCTCGTGCGCCGTGCCGGCCTTCATAGGTGCTCGCTAGCAGCACTTGCCCAAACAGTCTGTTAAAGTCTTTACGGGGTGATTGTTGTCTGTGTGAGTGCATGCCAGTGCGTGAGCCACTGCTATCGGATGCGTGTGCATATGCATGTACATATGTATGTACATATGTATGTACGTATGTTGAACTTTTTTCAAACCGTACATAGCCAATCATGCTAATAGAAGGTGCCAATAAAGTCGACGTCAACGTGGTTAGTGTCCAAATGGGGGAAATTCCAAATTCCTCTGGAGAATTCTTATTACGTGGTGGGCCATTCCAATGCTGGAAATTGTTCCTGTGTAGGGTCATGTCAAGGGGCTGTTCTACTCAAGCCAACATGGGGTGGTTCTCTTCTCAAAGGCTCCACTTGTCCCCAGCAAGTGTTATGGATTTTTCTCAATGTTACAAACCAATTCTGAAATCTCAACTCATAAAGAAAATGTAAAATCCCATGAGATTAGCACGTTTGCCAAAGGTCACACGCACGCATACATATCACGGGTCCCTGGTTCCTCTAGTCGGAATGAGCCCTTCTTTATTCAACCTTCCAGTGTAAATATATAAATGTGTCATTAAACCAGCCACCACCCGACACAGCCAACTAGTAAGGTTTTGTGACGTAAACAAAATATGACACTTTGTCACTAATACAGCACACCGGTGTGTTGGAGAGAAAATCAACAACATTTACAATCCGAGTACGACGTTTTGGCAGTAATTACAACGAGCATCATCAGGCGGGCAGCCAGATCCAGATGTCCACCTGATCAGATTGTAAATGTTGTGGACTTGCTCTCCAACACACCGGTGTGCTGCACTGATAACGAATTGGCACGTTCTGTTTACTTGATAAACCTCACTAATTGGCTGTGTTGGGTGGAGGCGGGTTTAACGACGCATTTATATTTATTGCATCTAACCCAAAAAGAACCTGTGTTATGGATGATATTGGTCGCAAAAGCCTACTGCGTGTTAAACGTACTCAATCTTGTCCAAAACAAAAAATAAGTGAGTGCTGTGACCGACTGACTATGATCCACAAACAGACAAACCGAGTTTCTGAATTAGGACCCAGAGGCAAGAGTGTATAGAAAATAAAACAAAAAACACAATCCCAAAGCATGGACCACCTCGAGCAGGAATTCAACCCACACGATCGGGACTGTAGCCCCAGCATGCTACCACTGCATCGGGGTGACCCGCCAATAATCACATCATCCTGCGTATCACCCGTAATTATGCTGAAACATAAGATGTGCTTTGTGCTATGGCAATGTCCAGAGACTAAGCTGGCTTTGCGTATGTGAGCATTAGGCTAATGCTGGCTTCCAGATGATGACAGTGGAATGGCGATGCATGCCCTTGCGTGTGTGTGTTTTTTTTTCATACCGAGCAATAAACGAATAAACTTGCAGTGAGTACTGCTGCTTATTTTGGATGTCGTTGGGTTTTTTTTTTCAGAGGGCACTGGATACGTATTTCAGAAGCCTCAATAAACTGAAATACAACGCTGTTGTATTTTATGGGAAACTATAATACGTGCATTTTATAACGGTCTATTTCAACAGCCCAAAAAAAAGTCAAATCATATTTGGGTCTATCATCCAATGGATCGTTTGGGCCAAAGTTTTCCAGCAGCATGTGTTTAAGCAGGCAAGAATAATCATTCCAGTGTTCGTTTTCTTGACACTAAATCAAAGAAACATCACAATAATACGATGTTAATTAATTTCCAGAACCACAATGATTTATTTCAACCGCCTGAGAAAGCATTTCTCAAAATACTATTTTCAGCTGTTGCTCCCCTGTGAACACAACGTGCTGAGTCGCGCTTTCTTTAAGACCACGTGATCTTGATAGAGGTGGCCAGGAGGCTCAGAGATTTTGATTTACCGGTTCCCAGTTAAAAGCCCACTGAGCGATTTGCTCTTTTTCAGAGGCAATCAACCTGGCCACACGTGACAGCGCATCCAAGTGGCATACGACATGTGGGAGATGTTAAATGCAGCCAAATAATCATCAGAACGCTGAGCTGGTTATTGCTGCTATCCTGATATCCTGGCTTTGAACCGGTTCCTCAAGTGTCGTGAGTTGATGGTCACAGCCCAGTCACCAGTGAGTGCACAAGAGCACAATTACACTACAATTGGTTTCGCAATTAATTTTACTAAATGTAAAGCTTTGAGAATTCAATATCTAAATCTAAAAACTTTTTTTTTTCACCAGGTAAGACCCACTGAGCTGTGTAGCTCTTTTTCAGAAGCGACCTGGCCACAAATTATAGCTCAACGAAATGGCTTATCACGTGGAAATGTACAGCAGCAAAATACTCTAAACGGATGTTGACTCTAAATGTGGAGGGAAAAACCAGAGGACCCTGAGAAAAAATACACATGACCACAGGGAGGACATGCATATTCCAAATATGCATGCATCAGGGTTGGGATTGAACACATGACCTCCTGTATACCAGGCGAAGTAGTTAACATCTTGGTGAGATGTTAAGTTAGATGAACATTACTCTTTGGTTCTTTCGGGAAAGTCACATAGGTAAAAAAAGAATAAAAAAATATATAATATGAATCACGACGTTTCGATCACAACACAAGCGGTGGTCCTCAGGTGTAAAAAATTATCCAGCAGTGCAACTGCTGAACCAGCGAGCCTGAGGACAACCGCTTGTGTTGCGATCGAAACGTCGTGATATATTATTTTTTGTTTTATTTAATTGTATTTATTTTTCTACCTACGTGACTTTACCGAAAGAACCAAAGCGTATGGGTTCCTGCAGTCACGAAAGCTTCAAATCAAGATTAGATGAACATTACTCTCACATGCACAGTGGGTGGGAAAGCACTCCCCTCTATCTTTTTGGTTCTTTCGGTAAAGTCACGTAGAAGGGAAATAATAAAAGAATCAAAATGAAACATAATAAAATACAATTCTCACGACGTTTCGGCCACAACGCAAGCAGCCATCCTCAGGTGAAGAATGACCTGAGGACGGCTGCTTGCGTTGTGGCCGAAACGTCGTGAGAATTATTTTATTATGTTTCATTTTTATTATTTTATTACTTCCCTTCTACGTGACTTTACCGAAAGAACCAAGAAGATGAATCCCTGCAGTCACGAAAGCTTTAAATCGAAATTTAATGCTCCCCTCTACTTGTGTGGACCAGAGGTCACGTGAAGGGAACTCGGAGGGAGCTCTGTGATACCTTCAGTGTGTCCGTGGGCTGACCTCTAAAACAAAGTGTGGCACTGCTCTACGAAAGAGCTGCCCGGATATTTCGTCTCCTGACATTACAGTTTAAGTGTAGGGACATTTACAAATTTTAAAGAGAGTAAATGCGCCTATTAATTTGCACGTACTATTTCCGATAGCGTGACAATATTAAATTAATAATAAGCCTCTGCGTGTAACCACATCTCAAGAAGCTGTTGCAAAAATGGCATCACAATGTCATGGCTGAACAACTTTTGAAAGCTGAACTATATTTGTGTCCATTGCATGATGGTTGATAACACACGATGCATTTTCTAACGCCTCATATCACACGGTAAATTCTCCTGGCATCATCATGCCTGGGTTTTTCACGTATGTGTATCACAAAAAAACCCAAGTTAGATATAAATCACCAGCCAGAGTCAAACACCCGGTACCTCACGGATTGGCAGAAAAACAGGTTAGAATGACATAGCATTGTGTGGTGGCGTCTACTCTCAGAGTGAATATATAATGCTTTACCGTCGAAAAATGCACCCACATATTGTCCATAACACTTTCTGTCGTGACGTATAATTTAAAAGTACTTTTAAAATATTGATATATGAAGTAAAGTTGACAATTAAAAAGTGAATAAATAAATACACACGTAGGCTTTCGCGACCAATATCATCCACAATAGTTTTTTTTGGGTTAGATCGCATAAATATATAAATGTGTCGTTAAACCCGCCACCACCCGACACAGCCAACTCGTAAAGGTTGTCACGTAAACAGAACATGGCGGGTTTTAACGACACATTTAAATATTTCCGCGATCTAACCCAAACAACCTCTATTATGAAGTAAATACACGCTTGGACACCGCTAACATCACCGTTTTAAGCATGTAACGGTTCTGTGCGTGTTTGTTGTGTGTCTACACTGTATACATGGCGGTCTTCCATGATGCTATATCACGAGCATCTGTGGCGTAGCGCTTAGCGCACCGTACTATGAAAGATCAGCTGCAAACATCCTGGGCCTCGCCTAGGTCGACTCAGCCTTAAATGAGTATAAACATCATCCATGGGCAGATATCGGTGGCCCGGTGTTGTTCCAGCCACACCGCCCAACCCTTGTGTGCCGTGTTGGCCTTAATAGGCGCTCGCCAACAGCACTTGCCCCCAAGGATCTGTATACCTATGGGGGAGGGGATCTTTGTCTTTGTACATGCGTGGAGGTATATATCGGCTGTTTTGAACTCTGCTGTAACTTATCTACAGCAGGCATCAAAGCTGCAAGTGTGACTGGCCGAGCCGTTTTTGCTTCACTCATATTAGCTTATCTTCAACAGGAAAAAAAAAATGACAATCCCCATGTAACAAAGAGAGAGCGCGTTATTTGTTTTCTTTTACAAAAGACGAACGCAAAAAGAGATTAACGGGAGCTGGGCGTCCCAACAGAAAAGAGGCCTGCATCTCGGACACGAGGCGATCCTACTCCCTTTAGATGTTGGGGGAAATTCACATCTGAAAAGGTAACCAGGGTGGTCGGGTGGGCGGGCGGGTGGAAAGAGCTGATCTACTGGCCACCAAAGCCACCTACCTGGACAGACAACCAACCAGAAAGACATCCTCT